GGGATCGAGTCCTGCATCGGGCTCCCTGCTCAGCGGGGGGTCTGCTTCCCCCTCTGCCCTCTTCCCTCTCATGCTCTCTGTCTCTCATTCTCTCTCAAATAAATAAATAAAATCTTTAAAAAATAAATACATAAATAAAGGGCCCTACTTATTAGTGATCCATCAGTAGGGTTAAAGAACTGGCATTATTATTTAGGGATTTTCCAAAGAAAGAGTGTGTGTGTGTACTTTCCTAGTCAACATGAATATCTGTAACAAAACTCTTCATTTGACCCATCACTAAGGCTCAGAGCTAGCCCAATATTTAAGGACACAGGACTAGACTCAAGTAAACTTGGGTTCAGATCTTGTTTCTGCTACTGTCTAATCTTTGGTAAGTGACTTGAGTTCTCTCTATGCCTAAATTCCCTCATTTACACAATGAGGATGGTAGTACTTACCTATTAAAGGCTTGCAGTGACTTCTGACACTCTAGAGTTAGACCACCTTCACAGGCTAAGACTGCCCTTACTGCAGACACCAGCCATAGGTTTGGGGGTTCCCAGGGCTTCCTGCCATTCTAACTGGCTACAAATTTGGGGGGTCCTGCTATCTCCATAGGTTTGGAGCTTTGAATCTCTTGACGCCAGTTGAACTTCTAGAGAGGAGAGGGGAGCTAGAGATGGAGCTCAGTTACATGGATAGTGTTTTAAGCAATGGTGCCTGTGTGATGAAATCCCAGTAAAAATTCTGGACACCAAAACTGGTGTGAGCCTCCCTGGTTGATAGTACTTTGTGTGTATTGTTACATACCATTGTGCCAGGAGGGCAGTGTGTCATGATTCCATAGGGAGAGGACACTAGAAGCTTCATGTTTGCTTACTCAGGGAGCAAGAATGTCCTGTCCCCTTAAGGTTCTTTTAGCCAGACTAAGAATCAAACTGACATGAGACAGATTTTTTTTTAAGATTTTATTTATTTATTCATTAGAAAGAGAGAGAGCATGCATATGCACAAGCAGGAGGAGGGGCAGAGGGAGAGAATCTCAAGCAGACTTTGTGCTAAGCACAGAGCCCAGCTCGGGGCTCATTCTCACAACCCTGAGATCATGACCTGAGCCAAAGTCAAGAGTTGGACACTTAACTGACTGAGCCACCCAGGTGTCTCAGTGTGAGACAGATAAACAGGAGAAAATCAAATTTCATACATACAGGGAATCCACACAGACATGGAAATTCCAAAAACAGGCAAAATGAGGTCTTTTTTGTTGTTGTTAAGTAAGCTCAATGCCCAATGTGGGGCTTGAACTCAAGACTCTCAGATCAAGAGGATCTAGAGTCATATACTCTACCAGTGGAGGCAGCCAGGAGCCCCAAGGGTTAGGGGTTTAGGACTTCAAAGGGAAAGAATGTAATCCTCAAGAAGAATGAAAAAGAGCAAATGTTTGGTAAACAGATGTTTGCTGGGCCCACAGAAAACAATGAGACAAAGAAAGGACTTTGATCAAACAGGCCTTTCTAGGTCCCTCCCTGTCTACCATACCTTGTTCACAGTATAATATAGTTGTTTATGGTGGGAGCTCTCTTCCTGGAGCAGATCCTCTAAATTTTTTTAAGGCAGTTGTAAGGAAGGTAAAGAGCTTTTCCTGAATCTGCTGGGTTTTAATTGCTTTTTAACTCAAAACAGTCTTCATGCCAAATTGGCCCATCTTGGGGTGACCTGCCCTTGGTCCCTGAAGTACCTTCCCAGACCTCACCTTCAGCTGGTAGCGATTCTTATTCTTTTCACTATGGTAAAGTTATGATTCCTGCGCACACACACACTTTCTGATGAGGATTATGAAGACGTTTTTCTATGGACTCTTTTAGGAGCTGTATTGTTTTACCTTTCATGAGGAGATCTACAGTACTGGCATTGATTTCTGTGTATAATGTTGCATTTTGAATACGGATATTGAAATGATCTAGTACATTTAATTGAAAAGGTTCTCCTTTCCCCATTGCTCTATGTGTGGTGCCACTTTTGTCATAAATTGAGTGTCAATATATCTGAGGATTTGGGGTAGGGGACTTTCTCTTCTGTTCTCTTAATCTGTCCTCATACCAATTCTACAGTGTTGTAATTATTGTAACTTTATTGTAAGTCTTAAGTGTGTATTACCATCTTGTTCTTTTTTAAGTGTCTCAACTATTTTTGGCCCTTTGCATTTCCATGTAAATTTTAGACTCAATTTGTCAGGTTCTATTTTTTTAATTGAGATTTTGATTGAGATTGAATTGAATCTATAGGTGAGTTGATACGATTATAATACTGAATCATGTATGTGGTAATCCCTCCATATATTTAGGTCTTCTTTAATATCTCTCAACAATGAAAAAAAACAGATTTACTGAGATATAACTTATATACCATAAAGTTTGCCCTTTTAAAGTATACAATTCAGGTTTTTTTGGTTTTTTTTTTTTTTGGTATATTCAGAGTTGCGCATCTATTACCACCATCTTACTCCAGAACATTTTCACACCCCCAAAAGAAACTCTGTATCCATTATCAGTTATTCCATATTCTCTCCAGTCTTCCCAGCCCCTGGAGGTTATTAATCTTTCTCTATATATAGGTTTACGTATTATGGATTTTTCATTTAAGTGGAATCATGCAGTATGTGGCCTTTTGTGCCTTTCACTTAGCATGTTTTTTAAGGTTCATCCATGTGCTAACATGTATCAGAACTTCATTCTGATGTATGGCTGAATAATATTCTATTGTATGGATATACATATCTTATCCACTCATCAGTTGATGGACACTTGGGTGTTTTTCTCAGCAGGGTTTTATAGTTTTCAGAAAAACTGTCAATGCAGAGTTTGGAGAGATCATAATTCTGAAATGGTATTTTTTTCATGGGTCTGTATCTGGTCAAATGTTCCTTAGGTCTGTGATTAAGTATGCTAGTATGTAACTTCTATGAGCATAGAGATTTTTGTTCACTTTGTTAAATGATCCATCCTAAATCCCCAGACTGGTGCAGGCAATTAGTAATACTTGTAGTTTAAATGAATGAATGGTCAGTAGTGATCTATGTGGGGAAATGGGCTATTTATGAAAGGATGAGTATATAATTTCTGCAAGTTTGTTTTCTTATAACTTTGTCAAATGACTGTCTTTATGTTTACAGATGGAGTGGTTCAATCATTATAAAAAGTCCCTTGCTACTTATATGAGGTCACTGGGAGGAGATGAAGGTTTGGACATCACACAGGATATGAAACCTCCAAAAAGCCTATATATAGAGGTAAATATACCTTTTAAGAAGGATTTTTCTTGGCATGCCTGGCTGGCTCAGTCGGTAGAGCATGTGGCTCTTAATCTCGGGGTTGTGAGTTTGAGCCCTACGTTGGGTGTAGAGATTAGTTAAAAATAAAATCTTAAAAAAAAAAAAACAACTAAAATAAAATAGATTTTTCTTCAATGCATAGATTATGCTTACTTTTGTCTAAGAAGAGGGGGGTATATGACTATATATTAACTTACATTAAAAAAGAAAGGAGGGTTCCTGGGTGGCTCAGATGGTTAGGCGTCTGCCTTCAGCTCAGGTTACGATCCCGGAGTCCTGGGATCGAGCCCTACATCAGACTCCTGGCTCGGCAGGGAGCCTGCTTCTCCCTCTCCCCCTGCCTCTCCCCTTGCTCATGCTCTCTGTCTATCTCTGTGTCTCAAATGAGTAAATAAAATCTCAAAAAAAAAATTAAAAAAAAAAAGGAAAGGAAACATGTATCCAAACCAAAATGTTACCTCTAGGGGGATGGTGGGAATAGGATAGAATAGCTAAAATTTTCTGAATTTGCATTTGTATTTTAACAGGGTTAACTTTGGAACCATATACATATTTTACATATTATTAAAAAAATTAAAGTGGAAAACCAACCCACAGATTTTGAAAGCAAAATGAAACATATGAACCTATGTTTCAAGTTGGTAGATTAGTCACACAGGAATTATTTTAAATTACTTTAAAATACATAAATTGATTGTATATCCCTAGTGGATATGTTCTAAGGATGAAAAGAATTACAAAGAAATCTTAACCTGTTTTTAGTAATCATGATTAATAATATCATTACTGTTATTTTGAAACAGTTTATATATTGATAAATCAAGCAAAAAAGTAGTGGCACCAGGAACCAAGATTTTTAAAATAAGAGAAAAGTGATTCAAATATTAAAATGAAAAAGTTAAGTGAAAAGCCTATATTCCCAAACTGGAGTTAGAAATATCAGCATGGACTCATGTTGAATCATCTTTTTTTAAAAAAGTGTTTTTTAGCTCTGTCCACAGGACAGACGTAGAAACACCAACCAACCCAATGCCATAAGCAGCCAAATTCTGGAGTTTAAATCCCATTTCCCACTAAAGGAAACCAGACTTAACTAGAGGGGGAAATAAAAGGCTGATTCCAGGTTCTAAATAAAATGCACAAGCTGCGCTTGGAATACCTTGTTTCCCTAGAAAGCAGAGTGTTTTAAGGACTACAGGGGGGAGTGCTAAAAAAGTGGGAGCTGATTTGAAGGAGCGCTCACTGGCCAAAGAAGGAATAATCCAAGCATCAAAATGATTAACTGCAGTGAATTGCATCACATTGGTTATGTTAGAAGCATGAATGCATAATGATACCAAATAACAATAACAATTTAAAAAATAAAATATTTTTGGTCCCTCTTGAAGAATATGAGGGATGCAACTCATTTTGAAAAGTGGTGAATAAAAGTATAGGATCAAGCATCTATCAGCCTTTACTGTATAAACTCTATCTCAGGGTAGCCAAATTGTTTACAAGGAAAATTTCTTCTTTATAGTAGAATTCCAGCTAACAAATGCAGTAGAATAAAAGAACTAAATTAGTGCCATTTTGTAGCCATAACACATAGAGGCAAATAGCTTCTAAAACCAGTAGGTGAAAAGTTAATGGAGATGAAGATGATGTTTATGGATGGGTACAGGTAACACCTAGACCCACTGATCAGTGTTAACATCCAGAAAGGAACAGCCAGATATTTTGTGCTTCACAAGGTCCTGTGAGAGGAAATTTGTAACACCATTTGCCAGAAAATCAAAACTGATCTGATCTAGCCTCTAGACGAAACTTCAGTTTATAGGAAATTCAGGGACCGAGGAACATGCTAAGTGACCCCACAGGGATCCACAACAAAATCTAGTTTGTGGGAAACTACCAAAGTACCCACTTTTTTTTTTAAAGATTTTATTTGACAGAGAGAGACACAGCGAGAGAGGGAACACAAGCAGGGGGAGTGGGAGAGAGAGAAGCAGGCTTCCCGCAGAGCAGGGAGCCCGATGCGGGGCTTGACCCCAGGACCCTGGGATCATGTCCTGAGCCGAAGGCAGACGCCCAACGACTGAGCCACCCAGGCGCCCCCCCACTTTCTTTATCAATAGATTGCCAAGGGGAAGGGGGAAAAGGGAGAGAACTGTATAGATTAAAAGACGTGGAGACATGTCAGAAATGTGTCATGTGTAGCTCTTGTTGGATTCTGATGTAACATGGCAGCTTTAAAGAAAACATTCATGAAACAGATGGGGGAATATGGATATTAACCGGGAATTTCATGATAGTAAAAAATTATTAAGATGATGTGATAACAGTATTGAGATTGTTTCTTAAAAAGAATCTTACACCTGAAACTAATATAACACCAACTGAAATTAAATAAAAACTTAAGAAAAAAAAAGATATTGAATGAAACCAAAAGCTGATTCTTTGTGAACAAGAATAAAATTAATAAACCTCTAAAAAAATAAATAAAAAGAATCTTATTTTGTAGAAATAAATACCTAAATATTTACAGATGAAATGGTATGTAGGATTTGCTTCACAATAATCCAGAAGTAGATAAGGAAGCAAGATTGGCCACATGTTGATAACTGTTGAAGACAGTTGATGGAATTTCATTATATTAGTCTTTTTTACTTCTGAATGTTTGAGATTTTCCATAATATAAGTTTATTTAAAGAAGCAAAAAGGTCGTAGTGGTGGTGGGGATTTTTCTTAAATGGTATTTCTTGAACTAAGTAAAATACCTTTGGAAGTCATGTTAAGATTCCAGAGGAATCACAGGGCATGAAATTATCTAGGAAAAGTAGAAGATGAACTTGCTGGTGGGGCTGGCTTCACTCATAAACAATGCGAGACCTCAGGAGCACAAACTCCTGTCATGGGTTCTCATGGGAGAGGAAAACTGAGAGCTACAGTCTGTCGGTGCTCTTCTTGGCAGTTACAGAGGTGGTTATCAAAAGGCTGCCTTACCCCTCCTACCTTCTGACCAAGAACCTCTCTTGATTCTTATGATGTGAGTCTGCATCTCTTCTTTCATGGTGTACTTCTACATATTCCTGGGAAACAATCTGAATATTGAAGAAGATTGGAAGAATCCCTTTAAAACAGAAATTGTGGAGACTTACCTATGTTCTATTCTCAGATAATCGATATTTCATGGAAGAATCTGTAAGAGGCAAGTTGGAGTCGATAAAACATTCTCTTTTCTTTGTAGATACATATTTTGATTTTCTAGGATTTGCAGAGGGAACATAATATGTGATATTGTCTTCCCTCACCAGCTCCCTAGGTTTCTTTGCTGTCGGCACAGACATACACATACTTTGGAGATCCTGCCATTCTCCTTCCTCCCCATCCAAACAGGACAATTGGCTCCTCAGTAAGGAGTCCTAGGCCCAGGTACACAGAGAAGAAACAGACAGAAAGCCTAGGATTTGTACTGTGTGGGTATTTTTATAACCCCTATTTATTTTATGGTCACTATATATTAAAAACTATTTAGATAAAACAACAGTTTTTCTTTTCAGGTGCGGTGTATAAAAGACTACGGAGAATTTGAAGTTGATGATGGTACTTCAGTCCTATTAAAAAAAAATAGCCAGGTATTTCTCGTCTTGAGATACTTTAAATCTTATGAGTGTTGAATGATGGAAATGTTAGACTCAGTAGCAAAGTAAATGTTGCCTTGTGATGATTATTTATATCATAAGCATTATGCTTAGTATAAAACATCCTGTTTTGTCTGTTTTCTAAATATAAAGACTTGCATATACCAAGAAAAGGTTAATTTACTAGGTTATTGCTTGTATTTAACACTAAGCCTGTTCCTGGGAAATTATCACAATGGGCCTTATTCTAGGTAAGTGGGCTTATTCTAGTTCAGGGCCTATTAAATTGTTGAATTTAACTGCTTTTTTGAATTTATTAAAAAGGTGCTAAGCACTCATTTTCAGCTTGTAGGTCACCTTTCAAATCCCTGTTCTTTGGCAAATAGTGATATGGATCAAAAATTTCTAAGTATTTAACATATAAACATAACAGTTTAACAGAGAAAGACTGAAATTGTGGAGCTGTAATTTAAGCTAAATTTTTTCTTACAAAGAACCTCAATGTATTTATTTTCTTAGAAGTCTTCAAGTTCACATTAGATGAATTCACATTAGCTAGATTTATTTTTATCCTGTCTCAATTGTTTGTAGTCACATTAGCATAGGAGGAAGAATGACCTAATAAAAACTTTCTTTCCCATTTTGTTTTCAACCAGTTAGTATCTAATGACCTTGTGTCATTGATGTCTTTGTTTATGCCGTTTACTGGTACCCTTTAAATAGTTTCCTAACACAAACGTTGAACATTCTAAAGACAGATTTTTCAAGGGACCCTAAAATCTTTGGTTGTTAGAGCAAAACTTTCCCTCCCAAGTATCCTCTTGGAAGTAGGATACTAATGAATAGAAAGCAGATGGTAGGGCGCCGGGGTGGCTCAGATGGTTAAGCGGCTGCCTTTGGCTCAGGTCATGATCCCAGGGTCCTGGGATCGAGTCCCGCATCGGGCTCTCTGCTCCTTGGGA